CATGAGCGTATGCAGGGCATCCAAATATTCTTAGATTAGAGTAATCAGAGGGTTTACCGGACCATACCTCTTGAGGAGTCTTTAAGTCAATTGCAGTTGATGGAGATCTATTAACCAGATAGCTAGTAGTGTTTACTGCTTCAGCCCAGAATTGCTTAGACAAGCCAGCAAATATGCGCATACACCTAGCACGCGCCATGAGGGTTTGATTCATTCGCTCTGCAACTCCATTTTGCTGTGGTGTGTGTCGTACAGTGCGGTGCCTCACTATACCTTCTTTCTTGCAGAAATCATCAAATGGAGCGTTGCAAAACTCCAACCCATTATCTTGAGTCTTGACCTGTTTACCCGTCCGTTTTTCAACCATGGTCTTCCACTCCCTGAACTTCCCAAACACCTCATCTTTAGTTTTCATAAAGTACAACCAGACTTTTCTCGAATAATCATCTATGAAAGTGACAAAGTAAGAACACCCGCGCTGCGATTTCACCGGAGAGGGACCCCATAGATCTGAATGAACATACTCCAGAATTTCTTTTGAAGTGTGATGACCGGTACTAAACCTCACCCTGCGTTGCTTCCCTTTTACACAAGCCTCACAGAATTGAATTTTACCTATCACATCCCCACCAAATAAACCCTGCTTGCTCAACACAGACAACCCTAGCTCACTCATGTGACCTAATCGCCGGTGCCACAAATTTGTCCTGTCATCATGTTTATCCAAGGATTGGGATACCGCCGCCGTTCCCATCACTGAACTGCCCTGTAGAAAATAAATTCCATGCTGCAGTTTTCCCTTCATCATTACCAGCGCACCTTTCAGGACTTTCACCCACTCACTTTCACCATGATATTTTAAACCATTCTTGGCTAAGGTGCCAAGAGAAATCAAATTCTTTCTGAGTTCAGGAACATACCAACAGTCAAATTTCCTGACAGTACCGTCATGCAATTTTATCTGCACTACCCCGCTCCCTTTTATGGCTAGAACCCCATCATCACCTAACTTCACCGTTCCATTCCACTCCTTAAAAGAAGTGAGTAAATCACGAAAGAACGTCATATGGTGAGAAGCACCGGTATCCATAATCTAGGAATCAGCAGTACTAGCACTACACGCTGTCAGAACTTCACCAAAGTCCCCATCATCAGAACTGTCTTGTACCACAGCAGCACTGCTGCCACTGTTACTAGAATCAACTTTTGTATTTCCCTTCTTTTGTGGACAATCCCTTTTAACGTGCCCTTTCTCCTTGCAAAGATAACACTTAACTTTGCTAGAGGATTTTGATTTTGAACGCGACCTCCCATTCCCGTTACCCCTCTCATGTGGTCTTCCCCTACCTGCAAACAGACCTGAACCAGAACCCTCTTCCAGAGAAACCTTTCTTTTCAATTCTTTGGACATAAGGGCATCTTTCACATCATTAACAGAAATTGTAGTTCTACCATATAGCATAGTATCTACAAAATTCTCATATGAACCAGGTAGTGAACACAATAAAATTAGGGCTTGATTTTCATCATCTACTTTAACCTCAACTCCTTGAAGATCAAGAATGATACGGTTAAAGGTATCAAGATGATCCTTTACCTGAGTACTTTCGGACATCCGGAGGGTGTAAAGACGTTGCTTCTGATATAGCCTGTTAGTGAGAGAGTTGTTTTGGTACTTCTCACACAGTTTATTCCATAACCCAAAAGCCGTTGTCTGATCTACAACCTCCCGTAACACCTCATCAGTAACTGACAGTAAGATCGCGGAATGAGCCCTTGCCAAAATCTCCTTATTTACCTCCTCCTTCGTGTCTTTAGGAAACTTGTCTTCTCCCTCCAACGCAGCCGCACATCCTTGTTGAACCAGAAGTGCCCTCATCTTGACCTTCCAGAGCGTGAAGTCATTCGACCCATTAAACTTCTCCAGATCAAATTTATACGAGGACATCTTCAATCAATGGGATATGGCTCTGATACCACTTGTTATGAGAAAACGAAAAAGAAAGCAAATAAAGAACACAGAGGTTTTACGTGGTTCGGTGACGGTATGTCAACCTACGTCCACGGGCAGGAACCGGAGAGATTTTATTATACTGATTCAGAGATTTACAATGTGTCATCCGACTAAGAACCATAGTTGTCTATTTATAAGCACCCCAAAACACCCTAAACTCTAAGCCCATTTGTTATTAATTAGGATAAGCCCAAAAGGAACCCTGCCAATTGAAACAGCCCTTTCGTTTTGGTTTAGAGTCGGGTAGACCGCTAAATCCAAGTCACGTTTCAACACCAGACAATATCAATTTCTCCACAGTTACCTTCACATCCTCCTTTCCAGCCCTGGCACTTGGCACCGCAGCTTGTAGCAGTCGTCGTGCTCCTTCCCCCGTCCGGCTAGAAATTGGCACTGTGAGAAATTCTGCCGGTTTAGAGTCCGGATGGGAAGAATGCTGGGACATTTCTGTTACTTTTAAAAGGAAAAGCCCAATCCCTCTTGCATCGGTGATTTCGGAAAAATAAAAGAACAAAAGAAAAAAGCTCTATAATCTTTTTTTTCGTATCGGTGATTTCGAATACTCACTCCATCGGTGATTCTAATGAATTATTGATTTGAAATACTTAACCATCAGTGATTCAAATGTATTTTTGAATTGGTCATCTCAAATACTCATCCGTCCATCGGTGATTCCAAATACCATTACATGGATGAACTTAATCGCTAAAGACTACTCTATTTAAATACATGAATGTAGTATGTTAGAGCATATTATTAGATTTTCCTCTTTATGTTAATTGTCGTCAAAAAATCGCCACCGACGGCTTAATCGGAAAAGCCTGTCGGAATTGATTTAATTGTAAGGTTCCCCGGCATCCTCAAGAAAGGATCCGGGCTATCTCGTGATAACCGAAAAATTGATGAAAGAAGAAGGTAAAATAAACAAGAACGAAGCAGAAAATTAAATTGGAATTAATCGAAAAAAATTGTAAAAATCTAGAAAAAATTACAAGAAAATAATGCAGAGAAAAATTATGAAAAAAAAGAAGAAGATTCATGATGAATGGCGTCCCTTTTCTGTTATGCTCTATTTATTTGTTTATTTTGAATCATGTTTGGATAAGATGTTATCCCTAATTATTCTCAACAACTCAAACCACTTTCATTTCCACCTTTTTTTATCCGTTGACTGCTTCAAATGCACCAGGCCGGCTGGGTCCTTGGGCTAGTCAGGTCCGTAGGCTCACTCGCTGATCTGGACCTTCCGTTGGGCTGCGAACCTCGAGGATTTGTGTTGCTTGGACCGGTCCAATTAATTTTGAGTGTGTACAAATATCCCCCACAAAATCATTTGGACAAGAATAAACTCGTGGTCCTGATGATTTTGTCAAATACCTGAGTATTTCCATGCTTCCTCAGCCTGTCCGACCATTTTTTTTTGCTTATGGAAGGTTATCGTTAACTATAGTCTGATCGTGTCTTCTTTCCAGCTCCCAAAGAGAAGGGATAGAACCTTTTAAGATATCCTCTATTGATAAACGTCTTCAGCTCCTCCCCTTCAGCCTTCATCAATCCATATGCGCCGTTAGATAACTTGGCCGATATGATAAACGGCTCTTCCCATGTGAGGGACAACTTCCCGATCTTCGCATCGTTTGGGCCTTCCGAAAGAACGACCTTCCACACCATGTCACCTTCCTGGAAGGTCTGAGGCCGTACCTGCCTCCGAAAGGTTGATTTGGTCTTCCTCTTTTGATATCGAATGAGTTCGAGGGCTTGCAACCTCTCTTCGGGCAAGGCAAGTTGACCTCCTCCAATGGATCTTGCATTTCGAAAGATGGAGCAGCTCCTCGGATCGAATAGTAAATTTCACATTCGCCTTGATCCAAAAAAGGCTGCTGGGAAGGAGCCCTGCTTGCCTTCCAGGAAGTAAGCGGCATGATTTCCGGCTTGTAAGAATGGGAATCCGGATCTGCCTGCTCTTGCCTTCAGATCATGCAAGATCAGGTCGTCATTCACGACGAATGCATGAGTTTATGGGCCGTATGTCGGCCTCGGTTTTGAGACAAAATCTAATCACCTTGACCTTGAAGTCGCCTTTGAAATGTAAAGCTCGTTTTAGGTCTTGATCGGTGGCAATTACGTCCAAAGTGGCTTCCGATAGCTCATCGCAATCGAGTGCTCCGATCATCGGCTCATCCCCTAGGGTCTCGGTCGTTCCAAGTACTGTGTGGCCTTGAAAATTAAAAATACAATCATTGTTAGTTAAAACATGCTTCGGCCTCCACTCTTCCCGGGCCCAAGCTGGTGGCGCAAGTCCATCCTTTTTAACTTCGATATTATAGCGGCAACTCTTTCCTGAGTCTCGACATGCTGCCCCCCAGTCTGACCTTGCGAATTAACAAGAAAATAATCGTTAATTGAAATAGGCTTCAGCCTCCACTCATTCCGGGCCCGAAGCTGATAACGAAGGTCCTTCCGACCAAGCTTTGGCCTTCCAACGACAGCTCCTTCTGAGCCCTGGTGTAATACCCCGATTTTGGAGTGTATAAAATAATATTATTATAGCAAATAAATATTTTTATAATATTTTGGGATCAAGAAATTAATATTCTGGAATAAATTTTATTCCTATTTTATATATTGATTATGATTGAAAAGACTGTTAAACGGATAACTATCGATAAAGATAAATATAAAATATAATATATAATAATAATAATAAAGGTAATGATGATGAAGATAAATAATAATAATAATAATAATAATAATAATATAACGTGGTTTATGCTTTAATGTTATATCTGGTTTAGTTGTGTTGCTGAGTTGATATTGAATCAGGGAAGTCGGGGGCAGTATGTCGAATTCTCGAGGTGATGGTTTACATAGGGCTATTTGAGGCCCAGAGTTAGATCCTTCGTCTGATGAGTCACAATATCCCGTGCCAGAGCATGTACCAATAGAGCCACCTAGTCAAGATTTCTTCTGGTAGCCATAAACTGCGATGATGCCTCAACAGAGGAGTTTTATTGATGTTGTGATGCGGCATAACCCGCCAACATATTCTGGTTCCGTAGAGCCTGGAGTTCTTGAGTTCTGGGTTGAAAAGATAGAAAAGATATTTCGTGTTGTTCAGGTTCCACCGGATCAACGAGTCAATATCGGGGCTTATTTCTTGGAAGGTCGAGCAAATCGGTGGTGGTTAGGTGAGGAAGCTGCAGGAGTGGACCAAGTGTATATGACTTGGGATGAGTTTAAAGCAAAATTAAAAGCTAGGTTTATACCGTCTCATGTTTGAAAAGCAAAGAAGCAAGAGCTGCTGGACTTGAACCAGGGTTCGATGTCAGTCGAGGACTATTTTGTAAAGTTCAATGAGCTGGAGATATATGTTCCTGACTACTTTTCCTGTGAGCGAGATAGAGTTGATCATTTTGTAGATGGGTTGCAGCAGAGGATTCAAGAAGCTTTAGTTGTGTTGGATATCAGTTCGTTGTATAAGGCTTACGAGCGTGCTGCTAGATTCTATCAGAAGCAGGAAGTCAGGTAGAAGAACAGTGAGAAGGAAATGGGGTATCAATATCAGTTTCGAGATAAAGGAAAAGCTAAGGTGGAGGACGAACCAAAGGGTAAAAATAAATGGTGGCAAATATTCAGGTCTGGGCCATCGTATAAAGGGATTTCGATTAAAGAACCGAGTCAAGAGAGGTTTCAACAATTGGGGGTTGTTTGTCGACGTTGTGGAACAAGTCATTCAGGTACCCGTTGTGATAAAGTTCCATTAACATGTTTTAAGTGTGGTGGTAGTGGCCATATTGCCAGGCTATGCCCAAGTGTAGTAACTGCAAGGGAGTTTCCAGAACCGAGATTTAGGCCATGGCAGCCGCCATCTTCACAGTCACGGGAAGAGGATTAGGACCATCATGGCGAGGTGGTCGAAGCCAGTCACGTCCATCATCTAGGCAGCTAGGCAGAGGACCTGACCAGCGTGGCAGAATAAATGTGGTTACCCAAACAGAGGCTGATCATCACCCAGGTGAGGTTTTAACGGGTAGATTTCTTGTTTGCGGTTTGTCAACTCTTGTGTTATTTGATGCGGGTGCAACATTCTCGTTCATATCTAAACATTTGGTTAAAAGATTGGGTCTGAATTCATCGGTAGAAGTGGTTGTGGAAGTTTTACTTCCATCAGGAGAAGTACTGGAGTGCCGAGAACTCTATATGCAAATTCCGATTAGTATTGGGGGAGTTGATTTTGCTACTAACTTGTTGAGTATGAAGTTATCCGAGTTCGATGTGATACTGGGGATGGATTGGTTAATGGCATATCAAGCTCAATTTGATTGTCGAAAAAGATCAATTTCGTTGGTTGGAGTGATGGGTGAACAAGTGAGCTATGCAGGATCTGCAAGACAACCTTCTATGAAGGTAATTTCGTCTCTATCATTTCAAGCACTTATTCGTAAGGGGTATCCGGTGTATCTGTGTGAGGTAAGAGATTTGAAGTAAGGGGAGCAGCGATTGCAAAATATTCCTGTGGTTCGAGATTTTTCTGATGATATTCCTTGTATGCCACCAGCTCGTGAGGTGGATTTTACTATTGATATTGTGTCAGGCGCCGAGCCAGTATCAAGAGCCCCATATCGTATGGCACCGTTAGAACTCGCTGAACTTAAATTGCAACTATAGGAATTATTGGATAAAGGTTACATTCGTCCTAGTACGTCGCCTTGGGGTGCTCCAGTTTTATTTGTGAAAAAGAAAGATGGAAGCTTAAGGTTGTGTATTGACTACCGTGGGCTGAATAAAGTAATGGTAAAGAATAAATATCCTCTTCCGAGAATTGATGATCTATTTGATCAACTGAGAGGTGCAAGTGTATTCTCCAAGATTGACTTGAGGTCTGGATATTATCAATTAAGGGTTGCAGAGCATGATATTCCTAAGACAGCCTTTCGCACTAGACACGGTCATTATGAATTTATGGTTATGTCATTTGGCTTGACCAACGCCCCGGCTGCGTTTATGGAATTGATGAATCGAATTTTTCAACCATACCTTGATCAGTTTGTGATGATATTTATCGATAATATCTTGATATATTCTCCAGATAAAAAGACACATGCAAAACATTTGCGTGTGACACTAAACACACTGCGTGCGAGGAAGTTATACGCCAAGTTATCCAAATGTGAGTTTTGGTTGAAAAAGGTTGCTTTCTTGGGACATGTGATTTCTGGTAAGGGTATCTCAGTAGATCCTTCTAAATTTTCGGCAATCTCGGATTGGCCAAGACCTACTAATCAATCAGAAGTAAGAAGCTTTTTGGGTTTGGCAGGGTATTACCGAAGATTTGTTCTTGATTTTTCGAGGGTTGCGAAGCCATTAACTAATTTTCTGAAGAAGGACACAATGATTAATTGGGATCGTGAGTGTGAGTCCTCTTTCTTAGAATTGAAACATCGATTAACTTCAGCACCAATCTTGGCTTTACCAGTAGAGGGTGAGGATTTTGAAGTTTATAGTGATGCTTCGAAAAGGGGATTGGGATGCGTCTTAATGCAGAATCAAAGAGTTATTGCTTATGCGTCACGACAACTAAAACCTCACGAAGAGAATTATCCTACACATGACCTGGAGATGGCAGCAGTTGTTTTTGCTTTGAAGATTTGGAGGCACTATCTTTATGGTGCCCATTGTAGAATGTTTATTGACCATCAGAGTCTGAAATATATCTTCACCCAAAGGGAATTAAATTTAAGACAAAGAAGATGGTTAGAATTGGTGAAGGATTATGATCTCGAAATTGTATATCATGAAGGTAAAGCAAATGTTGTAGCTGATGCCTTGAGTCGAAAACCAAGGCATAAGTTGGGTAATATGTCAGTTGCTGATGAACTGTGTCAAGATTTAGCACGGATGGAAATTGAAGTACTTGGACGGGGCATGACGCGGGGATATTTGAAAATGATGCAAGTTGAGCCTGAAATTTATGATCATATTAGAGCGGCTAAAATGGAAAATAATAAGATGGTTGAACTGGCTATAAAAGTTCAGTGCGGTCAGACTCAAAACTTTAATATTGCTTCAGATGAGAGTCTTCGATTCCATGGGAGGTGGTGTATCCCAAAGGACCGAAGTGATTTGAAAGAGAAAATTATGAGTGAGGCTCATAATACACTACATTCAGTGCATCCGGGAGGGATTAAAATGTATCAAGACTTACGTCAACATTTTTGGTGGAAGGGCATGAAGAAGGATGTAGCCAAATTCGTTGCGCAATGTTTAAACTGCCAAAAGGTAAAAGCAGAACATCAGAGACCGATGGGGTTGCTACAACCTTTAGAAGTTCCGCTCTGGAAATGGGATTCTATTGCAATGGATTTTGTGACAGGACTTCCAAGGGCAAAGTCGGGAACAGATGCAATTTGGGTGATTATAGATAGATTGACTAAGTCAGCAGTGTTCATCCCAGTACGTATGACTTGGAGCATGCAGAAGTTGGCCCAATTATATGTTCATCATGTGGTTAAACGACACGGTATTCCTGAGGTAATCATATCGGATCGTGATCCACGTTTTCAATCTCGATTTTGGCAAAAATTGCAAGAAGCCTTTGGTACTCAGTTGCATATGAGTACTGCATTTCATCCAATGACTGATGGTCAATCAGAGCGAACTATCCATATTCTGGAAGATATGCTAAGAGCTTGTACAATATAATTTCAAGGAAGTTGGGAGGACCACTTGGATTTAGTGGAATTCTCATATAATAATAGTTATCAAACAAGTATTGGAATGACTCCTTTTGAAGCTCTTTATGGACGAAGATGCAGAACTCCTTTAAGTTGGGATGACATGAGTGATCGACTGATATTAGGTCCAGAAATGATCGAAGAATCAAAAAATAAGATTCGAGTTATCAGGGAGAAGATGAATATAGCTCAAGATCGCCAAAAAAGTTATGCCGATAAAGCCCGACGTGAAGGTCAATTTCAAAGTGGAGATTTCGTCCTGATAAAAGTATCTCCAATGAAAGGTATTAGATGGTTTGGAATTAAAGGAAAATTGAGTCCGCGTTATGTTGGACCCTATGAAATCCTCGATCGAGTTGGGGATTGGGCTTATCGGTTAGCACTTTCTAATTCCATGGAACGAATTCATAATGTTTTTCGTATATCGCAGCTTCGTAGGTATGTTGCAGATCATTCTCATATTTTATCTCCGGATGAGTTAGAGCTAAATGAGGATCTTTCATATGAGGAAATGCCTCTTTGGATCATGGACACAAAGACGAGGAACCGAGATATTCGTATGGTGAAGGTAATGTGGTCCCGGCATGGAGCAGAAGAGGCCACGCGGGAAGTAGAACAAGAGATGTTCAAAGCATACCCACATTTATTTAATTAAGTAGTGTTGTTATGCGTTTGAGTTTAGATTTCGAGGACGAAATCTTTTAAGGGGGAGTGAATTGTAATACCCCGATTTTGGAGTGTATAAAATAATATTATTGTAGCAAATAAATATTTTTATAATATTTTGGGATCAAGAAATTAATATTTTGGAATAAATTTTATTCCTATTTTATATATTGATTATGATTGAAAAAACTGTTAAACAGATAAATATCGATAAAGATAAATATAAAATATAATATATAATAATATAATAATAATAATAATAATAAAGGTAACGAAGATGAAGATAATAATAATAATAATAATAATATATAATATAATTATATATATATATATATGAAACCAAACCAAACCAACCTGTGAAGGAAGGCCGAAGCAGAAGAACGCGAAGGAGAAAGGAGAAAAAGAAAAAAAAGAAAGAAAAAAATTTAGCCGTTCGATTTCGATTCCGACTTCGGTATTGTATTTCTTGTTATACGTAGAATTTAATTATGGATTTTAATATGAATTTAGATATTAAAGATATTAAATTAGAAATTCTTCAAAAATTTCGATTGTTTTGATGCGCTCACAAAGCCAGTGGTAGCAATGCGTGCCACCTCATCAGATTATCGCTAACAATTTTCTTGATAATATTGATGATAATCTTGTTTGCGGCCTCGGCTTGCCCATTCGCTTGCAAATATTACGGCGAGGAATGATGTAACTTAATATTGAATTCTGCCAAGAATTCTACGAACCTTTCCCCAATGAACATGAGCCCCTGATCTGTCACAATAGTGTGCGGAATCCCATACCGGAAAATAATATGTTCTCGAACAAAATCAATCACTTCCTGCTGGGTTGTGTTCTTTAAAGGAATTGCTTCTACCCACTTGGAGAAGTAATCTGTTGCCACCAAAATAAAGTCATGATGTTTAGATGATGACGGATGAATCTTCCCGATGATATCCATAGCCCAAGCTTTAAATGACCATAGCTCAATCATAGCCTGTAATTCCACTGTGGGCAAATGATTCAATGGCTTATGTCTTTGGCATTCTCTGCATCCTTTAGAAAATCTGATGCAATCCTCGAATATTTTAGGCCAAAAGTATCCCAAATGATTAATAGCCCATCTCATATTCAAACC